CTGCAGATAACCCAAATAAAATGACTTTCTTTCTCACTAGATTTTAATGACAAAGCTGATTATGTCAGTGAAGTTCTGAATAGGGAACAACAATGGTTAAATGTATTCAACATTATTTAATGCAAAAGCTTATCAAGCTTGTGCTGGCCTTTTCAGTAAAACAAAACAGAAAGGGGGGAAATACACTGAAGTTGCTCTGAGGTCTCAGTTAAGAATCTCAGGAGTGAACAACCACGTAGTGAAGCATTCCAGACTGAGAGCTGTAACTCTTCTGTCTCCCTCCAGAGACACTCCTACATGTGCAGGAGAACTGACGCCACGCAGCAAAACAAGCCTTAGAAAATCTGCAAATGTCAAGAGTTCTTTACCACTGTCATTGTTATATCTGAAAACTGCACGTTAGCACAAGTACCATGTGGTTACAGAGGTTATAAAACATTCTGATCGTTTCTGTACGAGAGTGAATTAACTACTTTTTTAAATTTGATCTTCAAATGCAGAAAACAGCAATATTCAAACAACAAGAGAAGAGAAAGAAAAGTTTGATTCTAGAAAGTTAAGAGCTTCCAGTAAAATAATGGTGGCAGCATTGCTTTACAGACATCAGTTTCTGCCAGTTGAGAAGTTTCACCTCTTTGACATTCATCGTACTCAAAGGGTAGATCGTCACTGACTTTACTGATTCTTTGACTTACATCATTCTGCCAGCTAGTCATTAATGTAACTTATCCAATTAAATACTTCAACAGTTAACATCAGTATCACGGCAAACATTTGTGCAAACAATCCTGGTTAGGAAAGGAAGCATTTTCAGGACACAAGGTGCTTCACAACAAAAAGAAAGGAAGCGAACATGAATTAACTATTAAATATGCGTAGCCTACCAAATAAAGAAGCATACAACCACAATGAGCATACAGCAACTGATCACAATTTCCCAGTAACACTTTGAAATAAATAGCCTATATACTAGGCTAACTTTGGTAACTTTGCCACAAGGTTCACTTTTCAGCGATTCGATTGAATGCCCAAAAACGATATGGCATTTAATTTATTAATTTATGGATTGTAACTTACCTATAAAATGACAAAGTTGGTATACTTATGAATATGCTCCTCCTTTTGAAGGAAATGTAAGAATGCTGCGGGGGTTTACAATTTTAGCATCCTCAGTTGTCAAACGTACTAGCATGCTAACTGCTGATGTTAGCAGAAATAACACCGCTAACAACCTTACAGAGATAGGCTACTGTGGCTTTGCAAAATTCTATTGTATCATTGTAGGCCTATTTGTCATGCCTTATTGTTTGGAAGATAATATTAAAATTCTCATATAGAGAAGCGGTTAATCATTTTAGCATCTAAGCATTGAAGTAGTTTGTTGTTGTCTTGTGGAAATTAGCAAAAGCGAGAGCTGTAGGCCTATTCTGTTGTTTATTGTGCACTCTCAAATCTAAAAATCTTTAATAATTTGTCATTCAATGTCTTTTAATGTATGCCTGCTCATACAGAAGAACATGGTAAACAGTTTTTGCATTTAAGCATTTTCATGTTTAAAATGTTAGCTTGTGCGTGGTAACGTTAATCTCTAAACCGCCAAAGTAAATCTTAACAGAGCTGTAGTCTCTTTGGTCCTGTTAAATTGTACACCCATATTTTTACAAGCAAGAAGACAAAGAGTAGCTTGTCAGAGTAAACAAAAGCATAAATCAAACCGTCAATCAAGCCGTCTTTCATATCCTCACACTGAAATCTCATAAGTTTCACAAAAACAGCAATCTGAGGATTTCTTAAAAATATTTGTCACTCAAGCATCTGTTATGTAAAATTAGATCTTGCTTTTTTATGGGAATGCATAGTAACCTACAGTAGCTGCTGACTGAGTTGGTGTATTGAAAGAGGAGAAGTTTGCTTACTGGGCAGCAGCCTGTTATGTGTGGGATGAATCGCATACTTCTGACTGAGTGTACAGTCTCGTGACTGAACTGCTTGAGAAAACACTGTGGGTTTCTCCTCAGTCCTCAAACTGCTGCTCCAGGTCACTGTGGTGGCCTGCAGCTGCTAATAATATAGAATGACTTGTTAAGATGAATTACATCTCCACGTGATGTCTTATGTTAGTCACACAATGGCACATGAGGGCTCCTTTTTTTCCAGAGCAATGTATCCCACATTCTTGTTTCCTGCATCTTCCATAACAAGTGCTGAATGGGACAGAGTGCATTGTCCTCTTTCTTGGATCCCCTTTTCTCAGAATGTCCTTTGAATTTGCATGAGGGACCTCCCTTTTGCTTTTCAAAGCAACAAAGAGCTCTATCAGGCGTTGCTTGGCAGGCCTCTCATCCTCTCGAACAGCTCCATGTTGTCAAATTCACTCAACTCTTTTGAAATTCAAACTCATACAGGAAATACACAAAAATTCTAAAATGCCTTTTATTTGCCTTTCAGATGCATCTGTCCCTTTCATCGCACAATTAGAGGCCCTATTGCAACACAGTAGTCCATGAATATTGATTTTTATGATAAGCAGTTGTCTCATTTTGACATGAAATTAAAAAATGGAGTGATTTATCCATGGCTAAACACATTATAAATTAAGATCCTTTCTGCACCTACTCATCAACAAGTTAAGCCATTCTACCTGACTGTATTTAAAGTGCTGTTGCTTGCTTTGATGCCTCTGCTGCAGTGTGTGGTAAGGCCAACCCCGCGCCCCCCAATAGCTAAGCCTTGTTCTCAGCCAGTGCCAGCCTCCAATATCTGAGCTCATCCCACCCGCTCTGCAGGATCTAGCGCAAGCCCTGCCATGCACTGCACTCGAGAGTGGGTGGCATCACATGGCCCTTCAGCCTGCCTTCTGGGGCCTGGCATGGAGGAAGAGGGACAGACAGACACACACTCACATACACACACACTCGGCCCTCTGTGTGATTAGGACCACTGTTGCTGCTGCTGACCACATCTCCCTCCCTTCGGTTTCAAAGGATTAATTCCACTGAGTCTTAAAGTCAGAGATGCCCACACACATCAGTGAAGTAGAGACCCTTTCCAGCCCACTAGGCCTCCCACGCTCTAGACTTTGAGTGTGTCTAAGGTTGGGTTCACTCACATGCTCTACTCTACCTTCCCTCAGTAAATGCATTCAAAATCACTTGAGTTTATTCAGGGTTTGGAACTTCATCTGGAGACTTTATGTTCCGTAGCTGATAATCCAAAGAAAAAGAGGTGACTAAAAGAGATAAAACAGTCAAGCTGAAAACACCTCCTCCGCCCCCACATCCTGTCTGCGGGGTGATACTAGCAGAGATAGTGCTCTCACAGCACACAGAACTGTCTGTATACTTTGCCACGCATCTGCAGCAATGAAACTTACTACAAAGGGAAAAATGTGTCATCTCGAGAAGGAACACGTGACTGAAAGACGTGCAGCCCAGAGAGAGTATGCGACTCACCCACACAACCAGCAAAACCTGAGATCTTGTAAAAGAGCGAGCTATGTGTGAATTAGCTCAGTTAGTGGTCTACAGAGGGACAAAAGTGAGACTCTACTGTTGCTAGACCAGAGGATTTTTATTTCTAGGTGCTATTTTTTCTGTGACAAATGCTCACTGTTCACATTCAAAGTGTAAAGACAAGAAAAAAAAAAAGATTAAAGCTAAATTTAAGCACGTCAAAGCTTACTATGGAGAATTCTCTTATGATGCACACAAAAACTAAAAAAACAAGCTCTGGGAACACACCGGCTGTGATGGCACACCAAAATGTGTGACGGTGCCAGGGATGGCAGCTTGTCTGTGCAGCGCGGTGTTCTGGTATCTCCAACCTGCCTGGAGACAGGAGGTGTACAGATTGAGCAGGGAGAACACCAGGCTCATCATCAACTATTTTTTTTAATGCTTTCATTTCTCTCTTCCTTCCTGTTTCTCTCCACATCATGTACATTTGCTAAGCAGAAAGGACTCGCCTGTGATCTCTGTTGGCGTTGGTGAACACACTTAGCTTAAAATAAGCTTGCACAATGTTGGCACTGTTTTTTGCAGAGCAGAAACAGCTTCTTTTTTTTTTATAAGTCAAAAGTACTCTTTGCACAGGCGGGCAGCTGAAGTTCAGTGAATCATCCATTCTTCTGAAGTTGCATTTAGACAGGAAACTTCACACAAAACTTGTCTTTTTATTTTGGCCTGAAATACAATCAGAAAGGAAGGAGTCCCAAGCATTTGGAGCCCCACCCATTGTTGATACCCCAGCAGTTACGGTAAATATTTGCATGGGTGAAGTGAGGGAACAAGGTGTACTTCCTCTTGCAAGAATTTTACTGAAAAACACTTTAGGCTTCTACGAAAAGGATGTGTAAATGAGAAATATCACTCCACCAGTTTCCCACGCACATATTTAGCCCATATCATTAAAAAATAACCTACCGTTACAAACAGAGAACTTCCTGACATTAAAACAACACTTTGAATAAGGGAAACATATTCTTCCTTTTAAAATTGATGACTAGTTAACAAGTCATAAAACAAAAACTTCAGTTTAGTAAGCTCAGTTGTGCAGCCTCCTTAGCTTCACTTGCTGGGGATTAGCTTGTTGTGACTATTAGCGTAACTTACTTTATCATGTCAGTTCAGTAAAATTAAAGTAGAGTTTAACACTATGGGGTTCAGTTGCTTGCAGCTAGTTAGATTAGAAGATTGATGGTTGAAAAATAACCTGAAGGAAAGTAGCCTTAAAGTTATTTTTAAGCTACCCATCCAGCCACTGGTAATAACTTAGCATAAAGACTGGAAAGGTTAGCAGCTAGCTGAGCGCTACCTAGACAGAACAAAATCCACCAACAAGCACCGCTAGTTCAATGATTAATATTTCAAATAGCATTCATTTAATTCCTAGAAGCTGCTTTAGTGATGACTTTCTTCATATACAATTAACCTTTGATTACGCCTTGTCTTAGCATCTTAAACGTTATTTGACAGCAAAGGAAATGAGCACATTGCAAGTTGTAGCTGCTTATTTTATGAATTTATTTCCAAATGTAAACTTCACTATTTCATGCATACAAGTTATGACAACATACATTATTCAACAATCTGTTATTTTTCATATTTGCATAGGACATAGTCACAATATATCGTCTAACATGTAAAAAATAATGCCATAAAAAGGTACAGCAGAGCGGCTAAGACCAGCACATTGAATGCATGTAGAGTCCGAGGAACTGTACAACTGTAATACTTGAATGTAGTGATTTTGGTTTGCTGAGGGAGAAAAGAAAATGACACCTGAAGGTTAGAGTGAGGTCATTGGATGTACTGGCCAGAGCTGAGTCAAGAGTTATTTACAGATTAGATTATATTGGTGCTGTGAGGGGGGGCAGCACCATGGAGTCACTACAACAGGCAACTGATGGTGATGGGCAGAGGAGAAACGCACAGAGGTATCAAGAGAGCAACATCACACTGAGGAGGTACATAGAGGACAAAACAGGTACAGGAAACCAAAACAAGAAGCTGGTGAGAGGCTCTCTGTCATCAAAGGGAGGTCATTCATTTAACCGAAACAAACAAATCCTTGAAGGGCAAAAAGAATCCAATGCCGGAGCAAGAAACCTTTTGTCATTGTGCATCGCTACAGTAAAGAGCAGCACAGTGACAGTTCAGTCGGTCAGTTAAGGGTACAGACAGATATAGTCTGCTATGCTGCTTATTTACTCAGTCTCTTATGTTTCTTGTCTTTTTTTACTCTTTAAGATACTCGTTTGCTCGTTTGATTAATGACGGTTTTGTTCATTCAAGTTATCTTATACAAAATAACAAAAGTCGCTTATTGAGATGTAGAAAAAGGTCCATTTCAAGCACAACATCCATCGATCAGCACTTACAGCGCGTAAAAATTTGAACCCCCCACTTGACCAAGTTCAAGATTTACTGCAACATTCATCTTTCCCTTCAAAGCCTTTGGTAACATCTTGTCACTGTGGAGCGTCGGATGAGCTGCGAAAAAACTCAAAGCTCCTTCTCAATCAACCTCTCCTATCATGGCTTCTTCTCGAACACTATACAAGCCTTCAAAAGCCGCAGGCCTTCAAAACATGCTCTGAATGCCCTTGACTTTTTAATTGTTTATATTATATGATTAAATATTGCATGTTTGTAAGTTGTTCATCTGAATTGGCTTAGCCTCCACAAAGAGCCTGAAAAGACAGGATAGATCAAACCTAGGAAATGTTGACAATGAGAAACGTACCTTGTGCACAACTCACACAACGTATAAAAAAAAAAATGCACAGTCAAGACAGACTTCTATTCATAACCTACAAAAATGCATCAGGTTGATGTAAGCAGCACAATTATAGCAAATTCAGTTTTCAATCCTTTGGAATGGTCGGGCTTTTTTTTTTTTTTTATCATTAAGATGTCAAAAAATACCTGTACTAAGCCATCATACATTACTTGAGTATTGTACAGCGAAAAGAAAGGAAGAAAAGAAATTAAATAACAAGAACCAAATGAAAACAGAACTACACAATCAAAAAGTTTACATAAAAGCAAAAGAGAAATATTACTGTACATTACATAAAAAAGTTGTCACACTTTATAAAACTGTACAAGTTGTTTAAATGTCTGATAGCAGGTGTTTTTTTAACCAAGTTTCCATTATAGTTTTGGCACATAGTTCCATCTGTCATGCTTGTACAATGAGATCAGTCATTGGATTTCAGTTGAGACGGTCGGATCAGTGATATATTCATGTTATTAATATGAACTTTTTTTTTCTTTTTTTAAATAGGACTTCTGTTAGTTCTTTACACACTAGGCAACAATCAGTTCACTTAAAAGTATTTTTACAATTAGCAGAAAAAAGACAGTAACTGTTAGCATTTTGTACAAACCTTGCATTTCCATTTTGTCATTGTTTAAAGTCTTTTTTTCTCAAACAGATGTTGAAATCTGTCATCTCTCTGAGATCATGGTCATTAAATTGGATTTAAAAAATGCTGACGTGGAGTTTTGTAGTAATTTACAGCAGACATCGTTCCACACATAGAAAAGGTTTAAACTAAGACAACGTGTGTGGAGCTCAGTAAGGATGGTTTAAATATTCTTGTAACATAAAATAATACAAAATAGGGTTGTAATATTTCCTGGAAAGATTACTGTTTGAATTTACAAGGATGTGGAAGAGACCCTGACAACACGGGATGATTATATAAAATGTAGCCCAGTGTTTTTTTTTCTTTGTTTGTATTTTCTTTCTTTTTTTACAGAAAAAAAAGTATTTCTTCAAGTAGGGACAAATAAAAACCACCAATTTGTGCTACTCATCAAGCAAACATAAGCTACATGATGGATGTTGTGAAAAGATATGAAGGTACAACAAAAGAAAAATATTTCCAGAGGTATGATTTTTGAAAAATTATACAAACATTTCATATTAGACAAAAAAAAAAAGCAACATTTAAAATCATGACTACATTGCTAATTCACAATGCTGTGGTCTCTATTTTTATGGAAAACTTTCAAAAGAATCTAAATAATAAAGAAAAACAAGTCAAACCATCTGAAAAAGTTGTACAAAGAGGTCAGAGGTTTTCTTTTTAATCTTATCATCTCTCTCCCCCCCCCCAAAACAATCCTTCCTCTTTCTGACTTGGAGAATGTTTTATTGTTTTTGGATAACAGGCTAACTGGAATAGCCTGCATCCTGACATCAACAGTTTTAAATGTTTCTGATTAAAGGGGTCAAGCCCATCAATGGGGCTTTTTTTTTTTTTTTTTTTTAAATACGGCGCCTTTACACAGCCCAACAAGAACAGTCAACCATAATGCTGTGATAACTTCCAAAGAGTTCCTGAAATGACCTGAAGACAATGGAAAATCAATGAAAAAAAACCTTTCTCCATAAAGGCTCATAATCAATTGATAATAAAAGCAAGTACAGTAAAAATGGACATGTACAAAACTGTGTTCAATGGCCTTTTGTGTTGAATTCTTCAAGTAGATTTGGTACAGTGAGAGTAAAAGTTATGGGACACTCTGCCTGTGGAGTCCTTTATGTCACTGCTGCAGTCAGGGGATTGATATTTTGGCCTGCTGTTTACACACGGTCACAGTGTGTTTGTTTTCAGATGGTATAGGAGTTTCCATTCGCCTACTGTAATTGTACCGTCACTCACGGTTTAAGTGTTTAAAGAGGCTTTACACTGACAAAAGCTCCACACTGCCCAGTGCTTATAGCAGAAGACATTATAGACCAGAGCAAGACCCTTTCAGGGGAGGCGTTCCTGTGTTTCCAGTGTGGTGGGACACTGACCAGCAGTGAACACTAAGCACCCAGGAACACCATGGGGGCGGGGGGGAGGGAAGAGGGGGCTGGCAGACATGTCTGTGCAGGAACTGCTGTTACATCAATGTCCACAAACTGTCCCGTATCTGCTTTGCGGATATTGACCCTGAGGTAAATGTGCAGATTATGGATTAAGAAGTTATTAATGAAACCCGCTTAATGAGCTTATAAGAAAGTTTCAAACATAGTCCAAAATTGACTGACAAAAAAAAAGTGATGGACAACACCACAAAGAGCTGCTCAACAACAATCTGAGGAAGTTTTTTTTTTTCATTCGAACACGGTAAATGTAAAAACCCTCTCACTGCTTCCTTCACTAAGCGCTGCAGATCGACGGCATTTAAAGTGTCATCCTGCAGCCTGGAAACTATTTGAACGTCTTGTGGTGCTTTGAGGAGACTACTGCATGGGATCTACATAAGGGATGTGTTCTTTTTGGAGGATGTTTGTGACAGAGCTGATTCTTCACAGCTTTCAAGAGAGATGGCCGCTGCGGAGAAGGAGGGACAAGGCCGGCCATTCATGACTTTACACCTGCCAGACCGTCTCAAACAGCCTCAACGCTTCCAAGGAGAAGTTGTTATCATGCATGTAGTGTGAAGCACGGGACTGCAGGGGCAAGAGTGGGTCGAGGTGGTTGGTATTATGAAGCTAGCATGATGACAACAGTTTGGAGGGGTCCATGAAGCTATTTCCGGCCATAGTGCTAAAGCATTCTGAGAAAAATGTACGTTTAAATGTAGGCATAACCCAGACCGGTTGGGGCTGCAGCAGTTTTGATAGCGGTGCCTGTTTGCATGAAAGGTTTACTGTGCCTTTTGCCTGACTTATTGAGGCATGTGTGACTAGAAAACACAAGTGAGCTTTCTCACGGGGACATCTGAGCTTCACAGGCAGGATGACATGAAGCTGGTGAGAACTGCACTTTGCTGATATGTTGGTTTTGGTTCACATGTTTTTACAACAGTTTAAAAAGCCCCCCTTGTTGCGAGAGAGAAGTTTGAAAGCAGCTGTTTGAAAGCATATCCATTTGATTTTGAAGCTACATTTTCCTTGGCATTGTGAAATGTGACTCTCAAGCAGCAGTCGAGACTGATTTTTCCCTGTGCTTAGGATGGAGTTGGGTAAATCCCACCCACACTGCTAGCCTTATCTAGGTAGTATTGTTGATTACACACTTGTTTTGTCCCTACAGGTAGGAGCAACCTGCTAATTACAGCCATTTTTCTGCTCACAGTTCACTTCTGTTGGAGCGAGAAAAAAGGAGGAGATGAGGGTGTCTGCGCCCGGGTGTCTCCTCCTCTGTGCTGCTTGGCTCGTGATAAACCTCTCCTCTTTTATCGGGACCTGCCCTCTCTTGCCTGTCTGTCACAGATAGACTCTTTGTTCGCACTGTTCTACAGCACAGCTCTGCCCAACATTCTGGCCTAAATTTGACCCCAAAGTTAGGCAACCTTATTCAATTTGGCTGGCTCTGAGCTCTGCTGATCTTTGACAGGACAGGTAGAACCTGTGGGGGGAGGGAGGACTCCCCCGAGAATGGCATGTTCGCACTCCTTTTGCAGACTGTGAATGGCTTCTTGTGGGATGCAGCTGTTTCCTCAAGGAAGACCACTAAAGACAGTAGGAAGGGAAGTCAGCCAGCTGTCTGGCTCTACCTGTGATACTGCCACCCACCAGCCTCAGGCCTCTGTAAAGGGCGGCTTATGAGACTGAATAGAAAGCTTTCATTCACATCTGTCTTTGGTACTTTTTCCTATGTGCTTCAGAGATGGATAAATGTTGTCTCAGCTACAGTCCCTTTGTGTATTTTGAGTGAAATACTGGTTGATGATTCAGTGCTTTTTCAAAAAAAAAAAAAAAAGCATGAAAAGCTGCTTTGAAACTTAACTGTCTCTTTAAAGGGTCTAAAGATTCTTCTACTGAGTGTAATTTAAAAACTGTTATCCCAGTATAATCCCAATCCTCCCACAAAGTAGATTTGCACAGAATACACTGTGCACCACTGTTTAATGAAACACATATTTAACCCAGTGTTACTGCAACTCAACATTCAGGTTGCAGTGAGGAAACAGATGTATTTTGCCTACTAAAAGGTGCACGTTTTGGGGATCTGCTTCTTAAACAGCAATTATTTTACACATGAACCCAAACAACACAAAGTAGAACATAAAACATGCATTCTGGGTATGATTGACTGTATGGGCGACTTTCCTTAAACGTGAAAACCAACAAAAAAACAAAGAGTGCAAATTGTGTTGAGTGTAAGGCTGCTATATATGTACTTTATGTTTCTCTTCTCCGTGTTCATTCTTCTTCAAGCTAACAAGGCCATCCCTGAGAAGGGTGTAAAATTCAACCCCTGTTGAATTTCCAAGTAAAGTGATGAGTATATTGTGCAGTCAATGTGAGTACTGTTAAAGTACTGTGGTATTACAGAAATAGCAACTGTCTTCAATCCTGAGGTGTGTGTGTGTGTACCCCTTCTCCTCACCCGTTCAAACAAGAAGAAAAAAAAAAGAAAAGAAAAAAAGCCATTTTTAAAGACTTGTCAGGATGTCTGTTTTTTTTCTTCTAAACCTTGTTTAGCGGACTGCAAACATACATTGGACAACTAGCCATGATCAGAAGCTAAAAAAATACAGACATATGGTACAGAATGTAAATATTGCCATCTGGGAAAGGCATTACCTTCTTTTAGGATCGCACAAGTAATTGCACTACAATAAGCAGTTATGTACAGTATGGTACACCACAGCAAGCGCAGGCAGAGCAAAGGGAGGGGGGCTGCTGACAACTGTGCAACACAAGTGTTATGACAAAAACACAGGCCTCCCAGGTCAGAGGCAGAAAGTGCGACTGGGTTTCAGTTTAAGGCGAGTTGGCGGGGCTGAGGGTGGGGCTGGAGGCGTCCGAGCGGCTGTAGTCGCTGAGGGAGCTGGGACGTGTGATGCTGCCACCACTGCTGCCGTGGGGCCTCTTCAGCATGCCTGGCTGGAAATCTGAGTGGCGCCGAGCATGCTTCATCAGGTGGTCGCTCCGCATGAAGCGCTTGTCACAGAGCGGGCATCCAAACTTCTTCTCTCCCGTGTGGGTGCGGTAGTGGCGGGCCAGCTCGTCGGAGCGGGCAAACTTCTTACTGCAGTCGGGCCAGGTACATGGGAAAGGCCGTTCTCCTGTAACAACACAAAGGGATGGTGAGATGATAAATCACACGTGTACAAACATTATCCCTTTATTTTAGACAACTTTTATAATTTTCTTACTGCAGGGCATGCAGTTTAAACACACTGCTGATTTGCATTAGGCTTTTTGGGGCTGCAATTCAGAAACAATGCAATATCCAAATCACATTCAAAAGTCAGAAACAAATACAGCAACAATAAATGCAACACATTTCACATGCTGCAAAATGAGGAAAGTAAGACACACAAATGCAACAGGAAAATGCTGCATATCTAGTCATAACAACAGAAGTGTGCTCCAGGCCTATGGGGAAGCATTAAGTGGGAATCGATTTTTTTTAATTATGTTTTATGGATAAAATCTTTTTTTTATGTAAATGTCGAGAAGAAGTAAAAGAGTAGTTGAGTCTTATTGCTCAGTAAAAGGAAGGATATTATAACAACCGGAGACATCTTTGAAATATTGCAAAATAAAATCGGAAAAAAAGGTAGACTTTGTGAGCCATGGGACTTATGGTAAATCATCTAAAAATGTGAGCTGAGCATGAGAAGCAGGCACAGCTTAATTATCTTTGCTCCAGATGCTAATCACACTCACAATGGTTACCCAGCCCATTTTCCAACATGCAACTATCTGTGACTCGGCACATGGGGAAATTACACCCTTCCCCCTTCCATCAGGCAATAAAAGTGGGCTTTGACACAAATCTACTCAAAGCCAGATGGTTCTATATATCTTGTGGTTTCCTTCTATTCTGATGTGGAAACAGTGTGCATGGAGCTTAAACGCTGCTTTCTGCATCCGCCGGCCACGATGTCTAACACTGTATTCAATTTTACTTCCATTTCAGTGAGTTTCTGCCTGACAATAGCCACATCCAGTGTCTAATTTTACCAGCGTTACATTGCAGTGCCATAGAGAAGGGCAGGATGGACTCTTTTAACGCTTTGAAAAAACAATCAACTTGAGTAATATGCAGCGGATTTGGGGGTATGAAAAGGAATAAATGATAAGATGCATGAGTGTTTATGTGTGGCATGACAAGTGAGAACATAAGACCAGGAAATGCTTTCTTTGTTCTGTGCCTTCCCTCAGGGCCACAATGGAAACAGTGGCATTCAGCATCAAACACTCACATGCTACCTGATGCCAGAGAGTCTCAAAAAACAAGAACCCAGTGCACTACTAGTCAGTGCCCCCCCCCCCCCCATATACTGAATGGTTACAAAACATGCAGACAGACAGAGCAAGTCTAGACAGCCCAGTCTGTGTTCCTGCCTCTGACGCCTCACCTCAGCCCCAGCCCTGCCCACAACAGTTCCTGCGGGCCCCTACAGGGCTCAGTGTAAGTAAACTCTGTAACTGACATGAAGACATTTGCATTCAAGCCTAGAGAACTTCTTTCCAAAAAAATAGCCACACTGTTCTTCTTACACACAGAAAACACTTCACTTGCTCTGTGTGGTGTTCAAGTCATGAAAATGAGCAGACTGGTGTTGTTTGACCCTGTTTACATCCTGAGTTACACCCAGGATAAAAGGGCACAGTTTAACTTTCATGGCACTACACCTACTGATTATTATTAAAGAGAGACCTGATAATCAAATGTCATATCATAGTAGCTAGTGAAGCAGCCTGCGCTGCATCCTGGCACTGAAAATGAGTTACTGGCTAAAAAGTAGAGCTTAGCTCTGCAGGCTGCTTAAGGCTCAATAACCAGTGTAACGGATCCAACAACATTAATATTTAACCAGACATCAGAGAGCCAGGCTGAGATATCCAGTCTTACTGCCCTGATACAGTAATACAGTCATAGTGGAAGCATCAGGTATCCAACAGCAACTCAACGAGACGCAGCAAATTATTTAGAGCTCTGCGACTTCTTAGAAATGCAAAATTAACAGATATGCTGCCTGTTTTCACCTCCTGCTAAACAGCTTTTGGTATTAAGGTTAACAATATGAATATGGGTTGAAATTGCTATAATGTCAGCTTTAAAAGACTCATAAAGAAAAGCACTGCTCTATTTATCATTTAGTTTTTTCCATAGTTGAAGTAAAAAAAGAGGTTTAGGGAATAAACGCTTTGATCAGGAATGGGAAGAAAGATAAGGGCTATCACCCTGCATGGTTGGACGATGTCACTCTGCGAGATATTTCAGGAGACTGCAGCTATTACTCAGCGTCACAGTGTATAAAGAGGGTTGCTTCAAGCTACTCCCTTTACCCTACTCTCATTCCCATCCAGCTCCAGTTCTGTCACAGCAGGGGGTCAGTGCCGCTGATGACGCCAGGCCTTGCCGATTGATTCTCCGGTCTCTGGCAGCGTCCACATCAAGGGTGTGGTTTTTCTTTCTCAGAATGTGTCAGTTGCAAAAGGGCCGGGGGTGTAATGAGGGAAGCTTTTCCCCAAACGAACACAGTGACCCAGTTACCCGTTAAGTGAGTTACATCATGCTCACAAACTGTACCTCTACTAAGCGCTAGTGTCCCCCCTCCAAGGAAATGTGATTATGTCACAGGTACTCCTGTTATATAACTGTTCTCTCCGAGGCCACTGGGTCAGTAAATAAACAGCTCATCTCTGCTCCTCTAACCCATCCTTCTCTCATTCATGCCAAAGAAGTTTGGTTCCTCACTTTCTGCAGGAATGGTTCAGATAAATGGAGTCTGAGGCACTCTCGCGGGTGTAAGAGATGCTGTCGACGAAGGCAGATCAAATCTCCTTTTTTTGACGTGAGCAGCAGCACAGGAACTTGGCTTGGTCACCTGCTCCAGCTAGTAGATAAAATTCCTCGTGTGTCCTCAGGCAAGGGCCAAATTCACACAGTGTAACGTTGAAGTCTGCATGTGAGCGTGCCCTGAGACAGCTAGAGTAAATAGCTCGTCAGGGTGAGGAGGGGAGAAAAAGTCAAGCTCTTGTGCTTGCGCAGTGAGAACCAGAACAGGAAACATCTTTTACAGAGCTCAGAACAAAAACAAAATGCATTCTAAACATGCATGGAAATTTACAAGCACATGGACCGAGAATGAAAGTTAAACCTGAGGTCACACAGGAGATCACAGCTCATTAAAGTTGGAGCTTTACTTCACTTCAGCAAGCTAAGAAGCACAGTCATCTTGGCAACATGAAATGAGCGTATCACCACTCGCTCAAGTGGTAGAGCTCAGCACTATCCTGTAATTTAGTTTCATGTTTACAACAGACTATGACCTGTAACCAACCAGGAGCCGGCAGACAACCATTCATTGGATTTGAGATAATACTAAAATGACAGCAGAGTAAACTCAACCATACCCTCCCTCTCTGTCTACACGCAATCTCACATCATTCCAAGATGACGCAAATACATGTGAGTTAAATACACTGAATATACACTGAGGCTACTGCTGCTCCACTTTCCATTGTTCTCAGAGCAGTATATGGAGGCTTCGCTTGTGCAAAGATAAGAACAAAGGCTTACAAAGGTCTGCGGTTTGAAAAAAGGAAAACAAGGCGCGGCTTTATTGGAAACACATCTGGAATCATAGCAACAGTTTACGCAGTCATTTGTCTCCAGAAAAATTAACCAAGTGTGAGAGGAGACTAATTAAGAGAAGCCATTCTCTACGCAGCTCTGTTCAGCATATTCTGAATGGCAGCCATTTTCCTCTGATGTCACATTAAAAGTGGGAAGATCAATTGCTGTTAAGATGTTGTACTGATGTGTTTCAGGATGTCCATCAAATCTAGGCCACCACGCAATCACAATAATTTCACTGTAAATTCCAATTAAAAGAGCATATTGAGTATGATACCCTGCTTGCTACCTTACGACAACTAATAATGTTAGCATACAACCATTTAGCGAGCGTTACAAAAGTGAGGAACTAACACCTTTCATGTTGTATTGTGGAACACTACCAAAGCAATATATATGCTGAAATCAGCAAATTCATGTATAAACGGGATATTTTAGCAAGCAAGTGGCTGAATGCTTATGTTAGCTGTTGTAGCTACAGCATTGTCAAACATGAACCAGATTTCCCTACAGATTAGGTTTCACTGACTTTTTTGTGGCTTACATTATTCAGCTGTCGTTAATTATGGAACCCAGCAGTATGGCACATTTGAGCTCCTAATCCAAGTGGCATCAGACAAAAAAAGGTTCGCCATATGATCAATTCAGTGTTAGAATAAGTCGCTCCTGCCTGAGCAATGAACGACACTTGGGTGGGTCAGGTGCTCAAGAGGAGGACTAGCCTCAGCTTGTCACAAGAAATATCTGAAAACAAGACACATTTGAGGTATAATCATCTTTTGTCTTTATTGAGAAGGGCCTCGGTTGTTGTTGAATGGCCTACCTCCCCTTGTTGGCTTATAGCTGTACAGTTTTGAACAATAGCAGCAGCCTAGCTCCCAACAGGAGATGCACTCCTGTAATGCATTTCAATCTGACAGGCTGTGTGTACTAACCGTAACTCACTCCCCTCGGTCTGAACTGCAATATTGACATTCAACCAGGGATGTGCAGAGGGGTCTAGTGTGACCGTCTAATTCCTGCACACACCATACATTACTCAATTCCCTTAACTCTTTAAGGGCAATGCAGGCATAGCTTGCCTGCATTGACCAGCTCATCAAATTTTGCTCAATTAGCGAGAGTGGGCACTCTGTTTTAGCCTTGAGTGCATGCGAAAACAACCTGCAGCCTTGATGTGTTGCAGGCAGTCTCCTTATCTTTAAGATGTCTGGTTACCTAAAGACGTGCAAACAGCTGCAGCCGTTAATGGCTGTTTACAGTTGGTCTGCAAAAAGCAGGTGGGAGCAGGGATGCCTCTTCATCCACGACTCTCACTTGCAGGACAATGCCAGCTCATTTAACTGATGGAGTCTGACACTACAGTTCATATGAGACAGACCTGCTTACAAACTAGTGCCAAAAAAAGACCTAGCCCTGCCAGAGCCCCTCTCCCCCAAAGACCACACAAAATAGTCCTCATCTCGTTTC